ATTAGCTGCTGGGAGAAATTCCTTTGGAAAACCATCTGTAATTATCTAGCAAAGGCAAAGATATTTCAAGCCAGAATTTCCACCCTGAGACGTACAGGCTCAGGAGAAATCGACAGAGAGAAACAACAAGAGACTGAGCCGAGGATACTCCCAGCAGCCCTGATCCCAACAACCCGCATATTCATCATCTGGAATAGGGAAACACCCGGGCAGTGGGATACTACATCTCAGTGAAAACGGAGGAAGCTGGTTACTGGCAGCAACACTGACAAGCCTTCCAGATGAGGTCGAGTGAAAGACGACAGCCCCAAAGACTCAACATCCCACACTGGCCAGTTTAAATGAAGTTCTAAAACAGGTACAAAGCTACAACCCTGCAGACATGAAGCTGACTTGAACATAGAAATCACAAGCCATCAGCAGAAGGTAAACATTAGGCGGGGCTGCAGGACTCAGTGAGAAGGCTAGGAAGGTGGAGGTGGTCCCTATTTTGACCAGGTGGTCTTTTCACTGGCGTTTGCTTTAAAATTACTCTTCTTTAAACTTTACACTTTTCTATTTGATGGCCATCTGTCACAATAAAAGTATGACATAATAATGCATGAGTGTGTTTACGTTAAAGAACCCTGGTGGTGGTGTTGTATAAGCATTGGGCTGCTAACCACAAGATCAGAGGTTCAAACCCACCAGCCGTTCCTCAGGAGAAAGATGAGGCTGTCTGTTCCCATAAAGATGTACCATCTCGGAAACCCAATACAGGGTTGCTATGAATCGGAATCAACTTGATGGCAGTGATATTTGGCTTTAAGATTGTGAACTGAAAAGTTGTCAGTTCAAACCACCAAGATGACACAGTGTGCTCCGGTAAAGGCTCACAGCCTCAGAAACCCTAGGGAGCTGTTTCACTCTGTTCAATAGGGTAGCTATGCATCAGACATGCAGTGGGTGACTGCTTATGTGTACAGATAAAGGATGGGGGAAGGAGAGGTTTCCCCGAAATCCCTGTGGTAACTTTAGAATTGTGAAACTTGTCAATGTACATCCCTGAACAAATTATCATTTAACTGAGAAACACACAGACTCCCGAATCAGAGAACTGAGGCGCAGAATGGAAACCCCCTAGAAAGAAGCTACTCGCCTTAGCGGGGCAGAAAGGGCAGCTTCCAGAATCGTTCCAGGCTCTGGGGCTACATGGTTCTGGGGTCAATCCCCGGTTCTACAACTTTCCTGCTGGTGACCCACCAGGATAACCTACTCACTGTGAGCCTTGGTGTCAACAGTCATACCTATGTCAAGAGGCAGTGGGGATCATCAACCACCTGTCATCCCAGACATGTGATAAGCGCATTCTAAGTGCTGGATTATCATCACTGTATGTCGTATTTTATTTTCAACAGCACAAATGGCAAGATGAAAACATTATATTGCACACAGCAGCATTCATACAAGTGTGCATTTTAAAGACATACCCAAATCCCTTTTTATAAGAATCTCTGTTCAACAGGGTTCTGGGATACAGAGATGGAGCCATGGTTGGAATGTGGTTTTCCTTACATTATATTATATTATAAAATAGACACTGGAGGGGGAGAGAAAGGAATAGCCGAAAGCATCACCATAGAAAGCTTGTAAGTCCGTCTTCTGCCTATAAATGATTGGAATACCTAAAATGGGGCTACAACGTGCCCAGTGAAGGAGGCTTCCTG